GGTTGGGCCCAATCCAAGCCCTGTTACAAAATTAAAAAAAAAAAAAAGGCACAAAGGTGACAGGCCCCGGGGATCTGATCAAGCCTGGGGCGAATCAGAGTCACTAGTGCCCTGCAGTTCTGAGCTGAATCGGGCACTCCGAAGTCACTGGAAGCCCTCTAGGTGGCACCAGGAAAGGAACGTACAAAAGCAGGTGGGGAAACTCAAATGCCCCAGGGTGGCCTTCCCTCCCTCCAACCCCGACCTCCCCAAGGGGCCCTGCAACAAGGTATCTCTCCTGTGTGTGTCCACATCCTTCTCTCCAGAGGATTGCTAGAAAGGCTCTAACCCAGTTCCAGGAGCTTCGGGCACCAGGTGGCAGGCATCTGTAGAGGCTGCCTTCCCACGGTGCCCAGGCCACCCTCCCAGGCTGGAGTGGGGTGGGCCCTCGGCTCTCTGCCCTGCCTGGGATGGAGGTCTGAGTCAGCCGGTGGACGAGTTGCTGGAAGAGCAGCTTGCCCTTTCTCCTGAAGGCCCCTGATCGCCCGAAGCCACCTGTCAGCTCTGGATTTGTGGTCTGGACTTGCCAGACCACAAGTGAGCACTGAGCTCACCTTCCAGCCCTAGAAGTTAGTGTCAGCTCCAGGGCTGACCCACGCACCATGAGGTGGCACAGCCTGACAACCTCCAGGAAGCCCAGAGATCTCCATTCCTCCGGGAGCCTCCCAGGCAGCAGGCACTTTGGTGGCTCAGTGACAGGTAAAAACTTAAAAACCTTAGGGAAAACCTTTGCCTTTGCACTTCTTCAGCTTTGGGCTAACAGACCCACTGATTATGGTGGAAATCTGTGGATGAAATAAACAGGACAACGCGTTTCTCAAACTCCTGACCTCCCAGATTCAGCGGGGAAGTTCCAGATATTTCTGGAATTCCTCTCTGCCTCTGCTCACAACTCGCTGGTTAAAAAAACTTCCCAGGTGGCCACCCAAGTGGAGAGGAACAAAACCCAAACAGAGCTTGCAGTCCTTTGTGGCTTTCTAGAAGGGATCTCCCCTTCTTTCTTTCCCTGTGCGACCGCCGGGGCTCGGGCACTGAGGGAGGGGGCCCACAAGCTGATTTTGGTTCCGGAGTCTGGGCGGATCCAAGCCAGGCCCACAGGGGGCGTCAGAGTAGGGTCCGCCCAGCGGGGCTCAGCCAGACAGACCGAGGCCCAGAAAGGCGCGGGCATTCCCGGCGGGGGCGGGGCGGGGCGGGCCGCGGCGGGGCGCCGGCCACCAGCCGCCTTGGACTCGCCAACCAAACCACAGCTGGTGTTTCCCGCCCCTCCTCCTGGCCCCACGACCTTGGCCACCACCATCACAGGTGATCTGCATGGAAAACCTCGGCCAAAAGCAGACGTTTCTTTTTGTGCTAGCTACCCTCTCCTCCTCCATTCTCTTTCCTCGTTCTTTTTCTTTCCCCATTCCAGCTTCCATGGAATATAAAGCAGGTCATGTTTTTTGCCTAGAAGACAAGTGATTTTACAAAATGGAAATTAATTAATCAGAGAAACGAAACCAGACCCTGGATGCAGTCCTGGCTCACAAGGTGGACTTGGAAACATGGATTGGCCAGGGGCAGGCAGGGGATGGGCACTTCAGTGGTTAAAATCCGGGGTATGTAGAGATTCTTTTTCTCCTCTGGTCAAAATAAAAAGCCCCTCCTTTGATCTCAGGGTCATGAATTCAAGTCCCACGTTGGGCATGGAGCCTACTTAAAAAAAAAAAAAAAAGAGCAAAAAGTCCCTGACTTCCTTCCTCTCTCAAGGCTCCGGTCATGATCCCAGGGTCCTGGGATCGAGTCCCACATCGGGCTCCCTGCTCAGCGGGAAGCCTGCTTCTCCCTCTCCCACTCCCCCTGCGTGTGTTCCCTCTCTTGCTGTGTCTCTCTCTGTCAAATAAATAAATAAAATCTTTAAAAAAACAAAAGTAACATTCCGTCAGCCCATGAAATAAATCAGTGATGTTGGTTTGTTATTGCCTCACAGAAAAGCTCTCCTATCACCACTACCACGGAGTAGTCACGATAATTATGAGCTATCTCTTTCCACCCTCTTGAGAGGGAAGTTGGAAGACCTCTCTCAACTGTTATCTGAACTAGCTTTTTCCAGTTATCGAAGTGCCTTCAAAATCTCTCTTCCAATAGTTCCTCCAGGTGATCATCTCCCTCAAACATGATCCAAAAAATCCAGCTACGTCCCCACTGGAATAACACGGTACTAACTGCTAGAGGCAAGATCCACCAATGCATGCTAAAAATACTGGGTGAAGGCTGAAGGAGAGAGGGGATATTTGCACAGCCTCAAAGGATCTCCCCCATTGTGTGTATTAATTGCAATGGAAACCACAGTGACTTTACAGGGGAGAAACCCGACAGATACCCCTGAACTGAATGTGTCCCCCCAGAATTCATATGCCCTAAGCCCCGATGTGATGTGATGACATCCGGAAATAGGGCCTTTAGGAGGTAATCAGGAGTAGATGAGGTCATGAGGGTGGGGTCCTCAGAAGAAGAGACCACAGGGCTTGTTCTGTCTCCCCACACCCCCACCATGTGAGCCCACACAAGAAGACAGCTCGGAAGAGCGCTCTCACCAGAACCCAACCGTGTGGCACCTGATCGCAGACTTCCAGCTGCCGGAACTGTGACAACTCCGTGTCTGTGGTGTAAGCCCCTCGTCTATGATATTCTGTGACAGGAGCCTGAGCTAAGACATTAAGCATCAAGGTAACATGAACTAGTAATAAGACATACGTGCCCCTGACGTGACCACTTCAGAGAGCACAGCACCCTCACAGCATCCCTGCCCAAAACATACGACCTCATTCTAATCCTGAGAACACATCAGCTAACGCACCCGGAGGGGCCTTCTACAAAACCCCTGACCAGGGCTCCCCAGAGCGTTACTGTCATGGGGGCCAAGGGCAGAATGAGGACTTGTCAAAGCTTGAACAAGACAAAGGGGGCCATGACATGATGGTGAACTGGATCCTGGTACAGAGAAAGGACAGGAACGGGACAATAGGTGAAATCCGAATCAAGTGCATAGTTAATATTACTGTCTTAGTTTTTGGTCACTGTTGTGGTTCGGCCGGATGTTAACACCAGGAGAAGCAGGGTAGGTACCCACTTCCCAGCTCTTCTCCAAGTCTGGAATTATTTCAAAATAAAAAAGGGTTAAAAAAAATCTATCTCAGTCTAGAGTAATTCCTCTGGGTCTCACCAAAGGTGAAAGGATTGTCTCCAGAAACTTGTCAGCTCCCCAATCGATTACCAGATGGAGGAGCAGCTTTATACACAGGAGACAGTGACATTTGGCAGGGTGCTGGGCACAACATGAGTTACCAGTGACAGTATGAGGAAGCCACTGACCAGCAAGAACAGCCCACGGAGGAGCGTTTTCGGGGATGGGCAGCTGAGGCCGGGTGGGAGTGCCCGCAAGGGGGCTGTGCTTTACAGAACACGGACAGGAAAGGACGGCCAGGAGCGGAGGGTAGCCCGGACCAACGCCTGGGTTCTGTTGTCAGTAGAAAGAAGGCCAGCGGGCCGTGGCTAGGTTAACAGAAAACGGATTTCTGAACTCTGGCATCCCCTGCCTTGAACTGCTGAGCTTGCGCAAGGGGCTTGGGAAAGACAGGGGACACTCCAGGATGTTCCTTTCCTGATGGACACCTGGGCTTGGAGCCTCTGAGAGCTCAGCCATCAACATGGCAGAGCACCCGAGAGGACCACAGGCTATTCCTGGCTGAGGTGGGCACCCCTTTCCCAGCAGGTTCCCAAGTTACCAGTGATCCTATTGGAAATGCTGAAGAGCCTAGAAGCCCTCTGCCGCGGCACGAATGGCTCCCGGTGGTACCGATCCCCAAAGCACAGGCCCAGCAGCTCCTTGCGAACTGTCTTGTTCCAGAGCCCATAGATCAGGGGGTGGCAGATGGCGCTGGTAAAGGACAGCCACGTGGCCCAGGTCTCCAGGGTCGGGGAGACATAGTTCTTCCCCCAAAGGGCCTCGGAGGTGATGACAAGCATGTAGGGGCCCCAGGTGACCATGAAGGCCCCGAGGACCACCAGGATGGTGATGAGGGCTTTGCACTGGTTGGCCGAATAGACCACGCCCTGAAAGGCATTCCTCCTGCTGCCGGAGGAGGAGGTGGAGGTGCTGGAGTTCTTCCTCCCACCCCTCTGGGCGTCCTCCTCCACGATGACCACCGCGCCGCAGTGCACCTTGCGAGCCTTGACCCTGGCCACGCGGAATATGAAGCCGTAGCACACCAGCATGACCAGAAAGGGGAACAGGGCACACCAGATCTGCCAGAAGGCCGTGTAGCCAGGCTCCCGGTGCCACGCCGCCACACACATCCACTTGAACTCGTCAAACTCCACCGATGACCAACCGAACAGAGGGGGCAGGCAGCCGATGAGGGAATGGAGCCAGATGTAGACAAGCGCCATCACAGCTCGGTTCCCCGTGATCTTCATGGGGTACAGCATGGGGTACAGGACAGCATAGTAGCTAGAGAAAGGATGGAGGGAGACAAGAGACAGCAGTCAAAATAGGCAAAATATCCCCAAATGGCCACCCAGTGCTCTCCAATGTGGGGAGTTTTGCTAAACTTCTCCATCTAATCCAACCATGGGGCGAATGCTCCTATAAGTAGCTCCTTCCCCCAACTTGTCCCCGACAAGTCACAGACGGGACCACGTTACACAGCTTTGCGGGACCCTTCTTCCGTCAAGAGCTGGATGCCAGGATGAACCACGAGCTCAGGCGGTCCTGTTTCCAAGTCACAGTGCCAGAGCCCAATCAGATCTGGAGCTGGGGGAGTTCTGCGGGATCCTGCATTAAGCCAGATCACTTCTGTGTTGCCGGCATTAACCCACTTAGATCAGTTTTCAGAGGGTCATGAAAAACCAGACTAATGTGGGCGCCTGGGTGGCTCGGTCGGTTAAGCATCTGCCTTAAGCTCAGGTCATGATCCCAGGGTCCTGGGATGGAATTCCGCACTGGGATCCCTGCTTGGCAGGGAGTCTGCTTCTCCCTCTCCCTCTGCCTCTCCCCCATGCTTGTGTTCTCTCTCCCTCTCTCTCTCTCTCAAAAATAAATAAATAAAATCTTTAAAAAGAGGGGGCACGTGGGTGGCTCAGTCGTTAAGCGTCTGCCTTCGGCTCAGGTCATGATCCCAGGGTCCTGGGACTGAGTCCCGCATCGGGCTCCCTGCTCAGCGGGGAGTCTGCTTCTCCCTCTCCCACCCCCCCCGCTTGTGCTCTGTCTTGCTCTCTCTCTGACAAATAAATCTTTTTAAAAAAAACCTGAATATCGAAGGACTGTGGGGTTCACTCATTCGAGAACATTTACCGAAGGTCTGCCGTGCAGAGCACTGTGCAGTGTACCAGAAAGGCAGCAAGGAGAGGTGGGGTGGACAGACGGTAAGAAGAGTATGAGAGTCTGCAACAGTAAGAGCTATATGTCGTCCTCACAACAACTGCCTGACGTGGTATTATCATCATCCTCATTTTACAGATGAGGACGCTACAGCAGAGAAGGAAGACGCAGCCTGCCCAAGACAAGGGGAAGAAACAAGACATACAGTCAGTCCCCAACACACATGCCAGCCAGAGTCCACATGACAGGGGTGGCTGCCAATCCCTCGGCCCTGTGTGGAGCGGGGAGGCCTGGCGGGGCCCTGGCCCAGATGGCGGGGTCAGCGCAGGCTTCCTGCAGGAGATGGCCCACAGACCCAGGTCTTCAAAGACCAGAGGCCCTGGCCCAGGAGTAAGTGAGGTGGAAGGCAGCTCTGGGGGGCGTGGAGACGTGAGCCTGCACCCCATGGGGAAGCTGCCCGGAGTGCCATTAGACAGGTGCGGAGTGGAGGTGGAGCCGGAGATGGGAGGCCAGGGGCCAGGAGCCAGGGGCCAGGAGCCAGGGGCCTGGGCATGCTAAGCCTTGCAGGCCTGACCCTTGAACTGGAAAGGGTGAGAGGATGTAGACCATGGGGTTAGAAGTAAACCAGCACCCTCCTCTCCACCCAGACACTTTATCCAAAGGAAAAGCTGTTTCATGAATAATAGGGGTTCCCCCTGAGGACAGCATGTGCAAACAACAGGGGTGGCCACACGGATGCTGCCTGGTACAGACAGGATGTGAGAAAATGGCCGTGGCTCTGAGGGTCACACATCTCCCGTGAAGCCTTCTCCCCCACTGGGACTATCCTGAGTCACCCTGGGCACCAGCGGCTCAGGGACAGGGCCACAGCTTGAACTGCCCCCTGCCACGCCTCTCCTGGAGGGGCTGCCTCCCCCGTCTGCACCCTTGGGAAGCACCTTCCTAACCAGAGGTCAGCCTGGGGCTGCCGACGTGGGGCTTCGGGCTCCTGCCAAGATGGAGCGTGGAAAGATAGTGTTTCCGGTGAGGGCTCTGAAGAGGATCCTGCAGGGATCCTGCCATGGCTTACGGCTATCACTGTCCCCGGCCTGGGGTAAAACAGTCTTACACTGATACCTGGCCTCGGCACCTTGCACGTGCATGCGGCCCAGTGAAAGGAGCATGCCTTTGGAGCTGGAACGCCTGGCTTCAGACGGTGGCTCTGCTGTCCACTCGCTGTGTGACCTCGGGTAGCTGATTGAACCTCTCAGAGCTTCAGTTCCATAGCACGGGAATCGCAGAAGCCCTGACACAGGTCTGCGCCATGAACTCAGCGGGTGAGACTGAGGGAAAGGCCCGGAGTGCGCCTGCTCTTCCCACAGCAGTGGGGACAGAGCCTGGTGTCTGCCTGCCCCCAACCTTTCCCCTTCCTTCCTGAGAATGGGAGCCTGGACTGTTCACGCTGCTCCCAACCGCCATGACTGAAAGGGGACACTGGGCCCTTCTGTGTCCCGAGAGATGAAGCAGGCCATTCTGGTGGTCTGGTCTCCTACCTCTTGCCAGGTGATGGCCGAGACACTGACCTGTGCGGCATCATCCAGGCAAATGAAACAAGAGGGCGCACACTACGGTCGGATGGAGGGGCGCCTGGGAGGTTTCCTTAATTTTAAAAAGAAAGAAGGGAGAGAGAATCTCCTTTTCTTTCTTTCTTCCTCTTTCTGCTTTGAGACTTACTTATTTGAGAGAGAGAGAGCGCATGTGTGAGCAGGGGGAGGGGCAGAGGGAGAGAATCTCAAGCAGACTCCCTGCTGAGAGAGGAGCCTGATTTTGGGGGGGGGGTGTTCCCACAACCCCTGAGATCATGACCTGAGCCGAAACCAAGAGTCGGACACTCACCTGACTGAGCCACGCAGGCACCCCAGATTTCTACTTTTCTCTGCCCTTTAAAAAACTGCAGGCCCTCTGACCTCAAGACACCTCAGGGGCAAGAGTGCATCCGGGTTTGGAAGCCAGGCCTGGGGGGGCGTTAACTGTCCCCCAGCTCCTCTGACCAACTCCGCTCTGGCAGTCGTAAAAACAATTACAATTAATAAGCTGTCCTCCGCAATATACCCTTCTGGCTATTCTTAACACCCAGTTATTATTATTTTATGGCAAGACTTCTTTATTCTAACCAATGGTATTTGTTTCACCCACAGACTAAGGTTCTGGCCATGAGCAATTCCAATGGGACATGACAGCAATCTTTCCCAGCTGGGTCCTAAGTCCCACCAGGACGCTGGGGTCGGGGGTCGGGGGCCAGCTCCCAAGGGGTCTCCCCGAGTCAGAAGGGCCCCCCCCCACGGGCCAGAGTGCTGTCCATTTATATCCATACCCTCCAAGCACTACTCTGGTTTTAGGGTTTGCTTTCATTTTTTGTAAAATTCATATACAATGAAATGCACAAATCTATAGCTCTATGAAAATAGAGAACATTCCCACATCTGCCCACAAAAAAAAAAAATGGATTTCATAGATTTGGAACTTCATTTCTTTCAACTTAGCCTCATTTAGGCCTAGCGGTAGGTTCAAAGGAAAATACAGAAAAGCAACTCCCTGCTCCCCTGCAGGCCGTAAGAGGCCAAAACAGAGGGCTTCTTTTGCCTTCTGGGCTTCTAACCGGCTTCCGAAGCTTTGTCTTTTCTCCACGAACTCATTTTTACACATGAGCCCAAGCACGACCTCTGGTCCCAAAAGAGGCTCTCACGATGTCGCGTGTAACTGAAAGTCATTCTGCACGCCAGGGCTCTAAGGCTGAGCTCTCCTGGGAGAGCCAGCCCTCCACCAACGACGCCGGCTGCAGGAAGACCGCTCTACTACGGACACCAACAGAGCCCAAGCCGATGACAGCTGCCTCGGGGAGAACACGTTAGCTTATGCTGAACAGTCTCCTAAAAGCACGAGTGATTGCTGTCACCATCACTGGCCATCCCACAGTTCCAGCTCCTTTCATTTATTAAACGCTATTTTTAGAGCTGGGGTTTCATCCATCCCAGTGCGAAGTGAGAACACGAGCCACTTCCAGGCTGAGCCACAGGTGACCACGTCACAGACTTAGGGTACAAGCCTTCCCAAGTCCAATGACAGTCGCCACCTGGGCCTAGGTCCATGTGGCTGGTTTAGGACACTGACACTTCCACCGAATTTCGCTCTGGTCCGTTCTGTTTTTACACTCTGTGTTTTGCTCTCTCTTCATGAGGCTATAAGATAAACGCTTTTGACTCATCTGCCAACTTAGTTTGATGGATTTCTTTAGCGGGGGTTCTCAGCTGGGGACGAGGGGTCTCCCCGGGACATGGGGCAGTGTCTGGAGACACTCTGGGTGGTCCCAACCGGGGAGGACATCCTGCAGCGCCCAGGCCGGCCCCCCCACAGCAAGGGTTATCCAGCCCAAGATGTCAGCACTGCCAGGCTGAGAAACCCGAAGCTCAACTCACTGCTTGTTGGACCTGACTGGTGGCTCACTTTGCAGTCTCTGGAGGTGAGTAAGAGTCCAGACTTTACCTCCTCAGAACTGGAAGAGTTACCCACCAGCCACGTGGGCTTGGGTGAGCTCACAAAGCCTCATTTTGCTCGTCTGCAGAATGGGGGCCAGTCGAGCTGTTGCAAAAATCAGCTGGGATGAATGTTTATTAACAGCACAGTGCGGCGCCTGGCAAGTGACTAGCCAGCAACCCTTTCAGGTGAGCTCATGACCCGTGCCCTAGGTTTTCTCCTCTGCCACTTTCTTAGAAATGTGCCCATCTCTTTCTTCTAGTCCCATTCTCTCTGTTCCTCCTCTCATGTTTTATTGCTTTTTCCTCTTCTCTCTCTCCCTCCCGACCCCTCCCCATCTCTACCTTCCTCCCTCCCTCTCTCACACACA